ACGTAGACGGTCAAATATTTACAAACTTAACAAAGGCAACTAACGATTAACGATGGACGTGCCCACTCGCAGGTTGAGCTCCCACTCCATCTACAATTATGTAATTGCATTAATGTCTAAACAGTACAAGGTTCTCCGAGTTCCATGTGTCCTCGATCACTCTCCCGGTCGTTCTCTCCAACCGGTAGGTACCCGGGCGGACTACGGTTGTGATAACATAGGGACCTTCCCAATTTTGGGCCAATTTGCCTCCTTCTAACGGTTGGCTCGCTTCCCAACGTCGTAATATGTAGTCCCCGACCTGAAAATAGTGGGGATTGACCCGGACGTCTTTCGTGCTTTTGACCCTCTTCTGGTACTCGACCATACGCTGAGCCGCGATCTCTCTCTTTTCTTTAACGCCGTCTAGGTCCACGGCCATGGAGTGTTCATTTTCCTCCGCGTTGTAAGAGCGTTCCCTGGCGGTCGGGATCCATGCTTCGATCGGTAGCCGAGCTTCAGCGCCATAGACTAAAGCAAACGACGTTTCCAACGTTGCCTCCCTCGGGGTTGTGCGATAGGTCCAAAGTACATACGGTAGTTCATCAGCCCAACTGCGACCGGCCGAGTGCAACTTCTTCTTCAACCCCTCCAAAATTGTACGGTTAGCATTTTCAACTTGACCATTGCCCTGGGGGTAGGCCACCGAGGGCCGATTGACTGCGGTCGGGCAGCTCTGTAGATAATCTATCGATCGTTCAAAAGTCCCCCACACTGTAGCCGTCGTGGGTACTTATAGCCGCTAGGCCGAAGACACAGCTCTGGCCAGCCGGCGTGTAACCCACGTAGCATCCACGCGTCACCATCCCGCGAGCCCTCTCTGTCAACGTGTAGCATTGCCACGTGCCTCTTTTCGAGATCCTTGACAAGGGTAACTAATCGGGTGACAAAGGCGGTCGGTCGGGAAGTCTACCGGTCGGGTCCGACCGTCTTCTTTAAGAATAGCCGACCTGTCCAACCTGCACAAAGAACAAGAAAAATCGAGCTATGTCGGTCAGGATATATCCTAACAACAACAACAACAACAACAACAATAATAATAATTTTTAAAAAAAAAATAAAAAAAATATATAATTAAGCCAATCAGAACCCCTTTGTTGATTCTGTCCAGGTAACTAACGACCACAATATGTTAGTATCGGATTTGATTGATACAAACACCGGGAATTGGAATCATGATTATTTGCATAAGCTTTTTAATGCACGCGACGCAGGTTTGATCTTGCAGCTGCCTGTGAGTACGGACTATGAAGATATGTGGTATTGGGAAGGGGATATAAGGGGTTGCTATTCGGTAAAGGATGGCTATAGGCGGTTGGGTGTTTTGAATTCACAACCATCTTCTGTGTGGAATAATGTTTGGAAGTTGCAGGTCCCCTCCAAATGGAAGGTGTTCTTATGGAGAGCCCTTCTGAATATTCTGCCCACACTTGATAATTTGATAATTAGGAGGGTTGTCACTGTTAATTCTTGTCCGTCATGTGGCTTAGATGAGGAATGTGTTATGCATATATTTTGTTCTTGCCCATATGCTATTAATGTTTGGCAACTTTCTTAAATTCAAATCCCCCCTATTGCCAACAGGAACTTTGTGCAGTGGACGGAGGATTGGCTCGGTGGAACAACAGGGTACTCTAGTGAGTTGCAAGGCCAAATATGTGGTTTACTCCATTGTATTTGGACTGCTAGAAACACTGCTGTGTGGGAATCAGCACTGCTGGCTCCAAACATCTTGCACAGGCGGCTTGTGGCGCAATGGACTGCTTCGACGGACAGTGAACACCGGCGGGTTGCGGCGTCTGGTAGGCTTCCCGTGACATCTCCTGCGCAGCCCTCCCCAAGTGCGCCGGCTTCATTTCTCTTGTTTTGTAGATGCTGGATTTCACGGTCCACAACGAACTCCCGCTTTTGGATTTGTGATTTTCGGTGGAGACTATTCCTTTGTGGTAGCGGCAAACGGTCCATTGGCATGTCCGTATGACCCCCTCCTAGTAGAAGCAATGGCATTGTGTGAAGCCCTCTCTTGGTTGAAGGAGAACGGGTACTCAGGTGGCTCAATCTACACGGATTCATCAGTTTTGGTCTCAAGTCTTAGTTATGTTAGTTCGTTTCGCAATTATTTTGGTTATACGCTTTTGACATGTAAGCACTTAATTAATGCGTTGCCTGGTACTGTAGTTTGCTTCATTAATAGGGAGGCCAATCAAGTGGTGCACTCCTTATCTAAACATGTAGCTGCTATAGCAGAACGTTCTGTCTGGAGGGATGTACCTCCTTCGTTTATTGAGCCCATGCTGGCTAATACTATCTGATTCTTTTGGCTTTCAAAAAAAAAAAAAAAACTACTTGAGGTATTTATAGACAAAAAGAGTATCCAAATCACACAACAAATTGGAGTGCGAAACTACATCACAATGTCATTTTTTGGCAATCAGTAGTGATGGGGTGAGAACCCCGACCCAAGAAGGATTGGCCCAAGAAGGGGATCCAAGATAAAAAACGTGGGCTAGCAGTGAAAGAAGCCCAGTAGGGAACTTGGGCCGAGTCCAGGAGTCGGCCTAGGCCCAAGTCCACGAAGGGACGGCTCAGAGCCGTTAGGCGAGCGTCGAGAGGCCTCATTTAAGAAGACCCGGCCCCGGAGCCGTTGGAGGCATTCAAGGCAGGACTCGGTCAGACCGTTATGGATCCAAGGAGCCGTTGACCAATCCGGTAACGGCGCCCAACGGCTCGTCGATTGTAATTAGCCTTGAAGTCTGTCATTAATGGCCTTCAAGTCGGTAGGAGAGGAGCCTGCTATATAAAGGCTCCTCCACCCTTGTAATCCAGACAAGTTAATCCCAAGAGAAAGGGGAGACACACTGAAAGCTATTACGAGTACTGTCATTTCTTTGCAATTCCGTGTGAAAGGTGAATCCACCAACTAAGGTTGTGTTGGACCTCCCTGGGCCTGAAAACCCAAAAACCAACACTGGCGCCGTCTGTGGGGATCGATACAAGGAGCTACGTGACTCTCTAAGCTAGGCGAGTCTTGAAGTCGCTAGGCGAGTCCCGAAGTCGGACAAAAAAAAAAAGCGTCACGAACATGTCAGAAAGACGAGACCAAGCAAACAACCGGAACAACGGGATAGAGGCAGATCTAAGAGACCAGTTGAACCAACGAAATGCTCAGAGCCAAGGAAATGAAACGGCACCGGTGAACCGGCAGCCGCCTATGATACCCCTAACCCCGGAACAACTCCACGCGATCGGACGAGCCTTCGCCGATGCGAGTCGAGGAGTAAGGGAACAGTCGGTTTCTCGGCCGATGCCCCGCCATCCGCAACTGTCCCAGAGGCCGGAAGACGGACAGGAAAATCGAAGGGCGGAAAGCCAGCCAGTACGATCAGTCCACTCAAGGCTGGGTCCGAATGCTGGGCGGCAGCCTGCGCAAGAACGACTAGGAGAAAGGGAGCCCAGTCGCGCACCAGCAGGGCCCCGAGATCGGGAAACCGGTCGAGAAAGAGCTCGCACCAGGAAAACTAAGACTCGGACAAGAGGCACCGAGCGAGTAATGCGCAACGATGATCGATCGGCCCAATCTGAGGTCGGCGAAAGTACGGAATCCACAGGAAACCACACTCACAATGAAGGCGACGTGGCCCAATTGGCCCGAGAAGTACGAGATCTGAAAGAACGAATGGGGGGGAAGACCAAATCTCCTGGGCAGACGTTGCTCACAGCTTTGCCGTTCTCTTCCGAGATCATGTCCTACAAAGTACCCGGCGACTTTAAATTTCTGGAACAAGCCACCTTCGACGGATCCGGAGACCCATGCGAACATCTGCTTAGCTATCAAGCCAAAATGCAGGTCTTGGAGTGTGAGACCCGGTGATGTGTCGTGCCTTTTTTCCCACGCTGAAAGGCTCAGCACAAAGATGGTTAGTGGCGCTGCCTTCCAAGTCGATCCATAGTTTCGAAGAATTGGCCGACCGCTTCATGAGCCACTACGCGGCCAACATCAAGCCTCAGAAGGACCTGACTCACATGGGAGACGTTCACCAAGAGGAAGGCTAATCTCTGAAAACCTATCTAGCCCGCTGGCAGAAGGAAATTCAGTCTATAGAGGAGGTCGAAGATCAGACTGCGCTCACCTTTTTCATCGAGTCCTTACGATCCGGGCAATTGTACCGGGATCTGCGAGACAACCGCTCGGCCACCTATGCGGAAGCCATACATATGGCCAACAAGAGGGCCAACACGGAGCAAGCCATGAAGCACAAACGACAACGCGAGGTCGGAGGATCCGCCGGCGGGAAGAGGACACAAGCCGAAACGAAGGAAAGGCGTCCGGAAGTGACCCGGCGACCAGATGTCAGACGACCATACGACAAACCCGTCGCACACCCTTACCGGCCGGTTCCCGAACGGCCAGTACATGAGATACAAGCAGTCGCTCCTCCCCCGCCTCCGCCGACTGACGACCACGCGATAAGCGATGAGGCAGGTAAGACCTCTAAATACTGTCGTTACCACAAGTCTTATACTCACAGCACAGAAGAGTGCTTCTATTTGAAGAAGATCATGGAAGGTATCATCCAGCAAGGGACCCCGCCTCCTAATCAGTGGAGGCGGAGGTCGGTTACTCGGGGAGACGGGGATCCCACTGCCGCCGTAGAGAGCAGCCGGCTTCTGAAGAGGACGAAGCCCAGTGGCGTCAAAAGCCAGTTATTAACATGATAGTCGGCGGGCCCGAGGGCGGCGACTCAGTGAATACCAGAATGGCCTGGGCTCGACAGCTATACGTCGGGACGATATACGGGCGTGAAGAAAGCTCGAAGAAAGCGTGCCGAGAACCGATCACGTTCACTGACAAAGATCTACCCGCGGGAGAGACACCGCATCGGGACGCATTGGTTATAGCGATGGATGTGAACGGAGTGGTTGTTCGGCGAATCCTGGTCGACACCGGAAGCAGCGTCAACGTGCTTTACCTCGACACTTTCACCAAAATCGGATTGACCCAAGAACAGCTGAACCCCGTCAAAACTCCACTCGCCGGTTTCACAGGGGACTCGGTGGAGGCAGAAGGATCCATCACTCTACCAGTCGAGATTGGCAGTTATCTCGACGTACAGAAACTCAGTATGAAGTTCATTGTGGTGAATATGGCCTGTTCGCATAATGCTATACTCGGCCGACCAGGTCTGGAGGATCTAGGAGCCCTGATTTCTATCGAGCACCTTTGCTTGAAGTTCCGCACGCCCAATGGGATAGGGACGGTGCGTTGCGACAGGAGAGTCGCCCGCGACTGTTACCTACAAGCCTGTAGAGGAATGGGCAAGCGTGAGATGCAGGTCCATGAGATCACGGAAAGACCCCCAAAGAAGACGACGATACCTCGCCCTGAGCCGGCGGTGGAATTGGAAGAAGTCGAGATCGATCCCGAACAGCCGGACAGGCGGGTCCGAATTGGAGTCGGCCTCCTTGAGGAAGTACGAGAAGAGGTCATTAGAGTGCTCCGAGAGCACCGGCTGGTTTTTGCCTGGGGTCCGGAGGACATGCCTGGTGTCGACCGATCCATCATTGCTCATCGACTCGCCGTAGATCCCGGCCATCGGCCGATTGTGCAGAAAAAGCGATATCTCGCCAATGATCGGAGGGAGTTTGTGAAGAAAGAGGTGAGCACGCTGTTGGCTGCGGGCCACATTCGAGAGGTTAAATATCCAGAATGGTTGGAAAATGTAGTTCTCGTACCTAAGCCCCCGGCTTGGCGGATGTGAGTTGATTACACCGACCTCAACAAGGCCTGCCCGAAGGATCCGTTTCCCTTGCCTCGGATTGATCAGCTAGTCGACGAAACCGCCGGGTCAGCCCTGTTAAGCTTCATGGACGCCTTCAGAGGGTACCATCAAATTTTCATGCACCCGGCAGATGAGGAAAAGACCGCACTTTTGACACCGGACGAAGTGTATTATTATCGAGTCATGCCCTTTGGACTTATGAATGCCGGAGCTACTTATACCCGGATGGTGGTCCGGCTGTTCCAAGATCGGTTAGGGAAATCCATGGCCGCGTATGTGGACGACATGCTCGTCAAGAGCCAAGAAGAGAGCGAGCATGCGAGAGATCTGACCAATTGCTTCCAAGTAATGATAAGGTATAATCTCCGACTGAACCCTAAGAAATGTGCCTTTGCAGTGCAAGGCGGAAAGTTCTTAGGATATATGGTTACTAAACGAGGCATTGAGCCTAACCCCGAGAAGGTCCAAGCTATCATCGACATGCAGCCTCCCAGTACCGTCAAAGACCTACAGCGGTTAACTGGCCGAGTGGCTGCCCTTAGTCGCTTCTTGAGCAAGGCGGCGGACAAAACTACACCCTTCTTCGAAGCCATGAAGAAGAAGGAAGGCTTCGCTTGGACAGCCGAGTGCCAGCGGTCGTTCGAGGAATTGAAGCAATACCTTTCTACGCCTCCCGTATTGTCCACCCCCCAGGCGGGTGAACCTCTGTATTTATACTTGGCCGCCTCCCAGAAGGCGGTGAGCTCTGTGCTGGTCCGAGAAGAAGAACGTGCACAGCACCCAGTGTATTATGTGAGCCGCTCCTTGAAAGCCGCCGAGACCTGGTACACGGCCTTAGAGAAGATAGTTTATGCGCTGGTGATCACCGTGCGCAAGTTAGCGCCTTATTTCCAGGCCCACACTGTCCGTGTGCTGACTGATCAACCTTTGGGGAGCGTCTTGCGGAACCCCTCGTCGTCCGGTCGCCTGGTGAAGTGGGCTGTGGAATTAACCCAGTACGGGATCGAGTATCAGCCACGACCTTCCATAAAAGGCCAAGCCTTGGCCGACTTCTTGGTCGGATGCACAGCAAGTGAAGAAGAGAAGGTACGCACTTCGGAAGATGACCCCGGCGAATGGTGGGAGATGCACGCGGATGGAGCCGCCAGTCGACAGCATTGCGGGGGTGGAGTCATGCTAATCACTCCAGAAGGATTCCGACTGTATTACGCCCTGAGCTATTTGTTCCCAACGTCCAACACCGAGGCCGAATATGAGGCAGTGCTGAATGGTCTTCGACTCGTCAAGGCACTGGGAGTCAAACGATTGCGGATCAAAACCGACTCTAAATTAGTAGTTGGGCAGATCTCCGGCACGTGTGAGGCTAGGAACGCCCGGATGACCCTTTACAAAGAAAAGGCGGTGGAGATGCTAAAAGAGTTCAGGGCCTACGAAATAGAATATATCTCTCGGACAGACAACGTGGAAGCCGACATACTGTCCAAGATCGCATTGGAAGGAGTGCCGGACCACCTCGTTAAGATTTGCCAGAAGGAAGAGCTTAGTCGGCCGAGTATCGAGGAGACGCCGTTGGAGGTCCAGCAGGTGACCCGCGCTGAATGGGATCGGGAAAAGAACCCCGAGATGTTTTGGATCGAAGATATCCGACGGTTTAAAGAAACAGGCGAATTACCCAAAGACCCAGGAGTCGCCGCTAAGGTTCGACGGAAGGCCCCTTCTTTCCAAATCCTCGATGGACAGCTATACAAGCAGTCATTCGGAGGTCCTCTTTTGAAATGTCTGCTCAGACCCGAGGCCGAGAGGATAATGGACGAAGCCCATAGATGCATCTGCGCCGCCCACCAGGGTGCCCACACACTCGCCCGAAAACTAGTCGTCCAAAGATACTACTGGCCGACCATGATGCGGGATTGCATCGAGTGGATAGCGAAGTGTGGCGTGTGCCAAGCCTTCGCCAGGAAGGACACGTGGCCAGCGACCTTTTACACCCCGGTCACCACGGCCATCCCTTTTGCTAAATGGGGAATCGACCTGTTGGGACCATTGCCCGTCGCCCCGGGAAGCTTGAGGTTTTGCGTGGTGGCTATCGATTACTTCACCAAATGGATCGAGACCGAGCCGCTAGCCACCATCACCGAATATCAATGTCGACGCTTCCTATGGAAGAAGGTGATTTGCCGTTTTGGCCAGCCCGAGCATATTGTTAGCGACAACGGTCGACAGTTCGACTGTCAAGCGTTCGCCGACTTTTGTCGCTGACACGACATCCGTCACACCAAGGTATCCGTGACATATCCCCAGGCCAACGGACAAGTCGAGAACGCGAATCGGACCATAGTGGATGGGATCCGAAAGAAGTTAGAGGACATCGGATGGAATTGGGCGGATGAGCTTGACCGAGTCCTATGGGCTTATCGCACTACGCAACGACGAGCGACCAGCAAGAGCCCGTTCTCCCTGGCATATGGATTCGAGGCCAAAGTTCCGATAGAAGTTGTAGAGCCCACTCATCGAGTCCGTAATTACTCCGATGAAGAGAACAAAGAGAACCTTCGAATTGAGAAGAATTTCCTAGAAGAAAGAAGGGAAGTCGCGGGTGCCCGGATGGTTGAATACCAGCAAGCTGTGAAAAGGTATCGAGATCGAAGGATCCGCCCACGAACCTTCCAAGTCGGAGATCTCGTGCTACGAGACCGGCAGGCGAGTCAACCCACGGAGGGGGGCAAATTCGCAGTCAAATGGGAGGGACCGTACCGTAGTGCTGCGGTGGTCCAAGCCGGCACTTACAAGCTTGAAACCTTGGAGGGCAAGCCCGTAGACCGGATCTGGAACGTCATCCATTTGAAGAAATTCTACCAGTAGAAAGAGTTTAGCCATGTACACGCACCTAAGTTTCGAAACTTGAATAAAAAGAGCACGAATTATGGCCAAATTCCGCTTGGACTCGGCAAGTATATAAAGAAACAACGGGGCACTGACCCTTAACTGTTTCTAAGTGAAGAAAAAGCCTAAAGAGTCGCCTCGGATGAGGGACTCGGCGAGAGAGCTAGGGAACAAGGGCCCAGACCCTTAGTCGTTTCCGTGAAAAAGCCAAAAGGAGTCGCCTCGACTGAGGGACTCGGCGAGTATATAAAGAAACAACGGGGCACTGACCCTTAACTGTTTCTAAGTGAAGAAAAAGCCTAAAGAGTTGCCTCGGCTGAGGGACTCGGCGAGAGAGCTAGGGAACAAGGGCCCAGACCCTTAGTCGTTTCCGTGGAAAAGCCAAAAGGAGTCGCCTCGACTGAGGGACTCGGCGAGTATATGAAGAAACAACGGGGCACTGACCCTTAACTGTTTCTAAGTGAATAAAAAGCCTAAAGAGTCGCCTCGGCTGAGGGACTCGGCGAGAGAGCTAGGGAACCCAGTCGCCTCGACTGAGGGACTCGACGAGTATATAAAGAAACAACGGGGCACTGACCCTTAACTGTTTCTAAGTGAAGAAAAAGCCTAAAGAGTCGCCTCGGCTGAGGGACTCGGCGAGAGAGCTATGGAACAAGGGCCCAGACCCTTAGTCGTTTCCGTGGAAAAGCCAAAAGGAGTCGCCTCGACTGAGGGACTCGGCGAGTATATAAAGAAACAGCGGGGCACCGACCCTTAACTGTTTCTAAGTGAAGAAAAAGCCTAAAGAGTCGCCTCGACTGAGGGACTCGGCGAGTATATAAAGAAACAGTGGGGCACCGACCCTTAACTGTTTCAAAGTGAAGAAAAAGCCTAAAGTGTCGCCTCGACTGAGGGACTCGGCGAGTATATAAAGAAACAGCGGGGCACCGACCCTTAACTGTTTCTAAGTGAAGAAAAAGCCTAAAGAGTCGCCTCGACTGAGGGACTCGGCGAGTACATAAAGAAACAACGGGGCACTGACCCTTAACTGTTTCTAGAAGAGGAAGAAGATAGAGGAGTCGCCTCATGGGAAGGACTCGGCAAGATATAATCATTAACTAAGACAGTCCGAAAAAATGAGGAAGCCCGAGGCCTTAAATTATTTCAAGAAAGTTCAAAAGCAGAAAAAAAAAAAAAGATAAAGGCAATCAAAGGGAACAAAGGAAAATTTTATTAATAATAAAGGCCCGAGAAGGAGGCCAGCCTATACAAAAAAGGCTATCTAAAAAAGACTAGCCCTAAGCTGCTGGGGGGGGGGGGAGTGTCGACGTCGACCCTCTCAACTTGCTCCCCTGTCGTTGGTCCAGCTGGAGGGAGGAGTGAGGAGTCTTCCGCCTGAGGAGGCGGCTCCGCAAGCTCTGAAGGCTCCGCCATCGGGAGAGCTGCCGGATCTGCGGACTCCACCACAGGGGGAGTAGCCGGATCCACAGTCGATGCAGGTTGATCAGTTTCCGGAAGGAGGTCCAGTAGTGGCTTGAGGCCCCAGCTCTCGGGAGTGAAGGCAGAATCACGAGCCAGCAGAGCGGCATAAGTCTCCGACTGAGCTTCACGAAAACCAAGGCGATAGTCACGCTCGCCCAGATCTAGGAGGTAGTCATCCCCCTCCGGTGTCGCCAGCCACTCCCGGGCGATCTCCTTCTGTCGAGCTGCCACCACCGCCTTCACGTCCGCCTCGAAGGCCGCTGACTTCTTGTAGTCTTCCACCGAAGTCGCCGCGATAGTTGCGACCTTGTCCCGCTCCTCCTCCCACTGGCGGGTAACCCTTAGCATCTCGGCGGTGTGCACCTCCACCGACTTGGCATGCTTAGCCTGCTCTACCAGGAAAGCCTCCTCAGTTTGGCGCACCCGAAGGGCCAGAGACTGCCGCCCGTTCATGTACTCCCTCAGTCGTCTACGCATTTCCATCTGGAAAGTGAGGTTCTGCAAAGCGACAGGAATTCAGATAACGAGAGGAAAGAGAGCTGAAAAAATGGCCGGTCGGAAATACTTACGCGGTAGGATTGGCGAAGAGAGGCCTCGATGATGTACTCGTCCGGCATGGCGCCAGTCGCCTCCACGTCCTTAGGAAGGAGAACGTGTTCAGCCCAGGTGCGGACGGAGGAAGTGCCTTTACAGATCTGGGCATCCTCGTCCACCTCGTGACTCAACCGAATCCTCTTCGGAGCCGGCGCGTCCGATTGCTCGACCGACCGCTTGGAGCTCGGACTTTCGGACGGAGGAGGAGGCAGCTGTCGAGTAGGCGAGACGACAGGCGATGACGTCAAGTCAACCACGGTACGTGGTGGTGGAGGATTCGACCTTAGAGCTGGCGACGGTTGGGAGGAAGGGGCAGCAACAGCGCCGGCGGCGCGTTGAGTCAGTCGACGTCTTATCTTTTCAGCTCTGTCCGCCATCTCTGGAGTCGGAGCGGCAGCCTCGTCGGAGCTGGTGGAGTCGAAGTCGTAAGGACCTGTAATGAAGAGAGATTAGTGTTAACAGTCGGACAAGAATAGAAAGGAAAAAGAAAGGTATGGGAGAACTACCTAAGGTGGCCGCGCCGTCTGGCAGCAAGCCTCGTTTGGCCATAGCTCGGACCCGAGACCAGTACTTGACAGAATACGGCCCAAAGCCCCTCAAGAACTCGCCACCCTGGATCGCATCTTGAGAGAAGACGGCGCGCCGAGAGCAGGGCTTGAATAAAGCAGCCGGCCACAAGGTCGGAAAGGTGAAGGAAGAAAGAGTGGGGCGAACGAAGAAGTAGAGGGGCTTCCAGTCCTTGATGGAGTCGGACAACCCCTCGAAAAGCTGTCGCCCCGGACGAGCGGCAACCTGAACAAAGCCCGGCGAGTGCGAGCCAACCTTGTTCACGGTAAAGAGATACTGAGGTCGGAAAGGCAGAGGACTCGGCTCAGGCTCCGACACCTCGTCCAGATACACAGCCGGCTTCCCATCATCGACCATTTGCAGGGGCCTTTCTAGGGCGCTCGGAGACATAGCCACCCCAAAAAGCGGAGGAACCTCCCACACTTCTTCCTCCTCTGGAACTGGGTCGTCCATCACTAGTTCCATTTCCGCGACGGCAGGCTCCTTGCACATCAGGTCCAGCAGGTCCGGGGGCACCACAATGGGGTCTGAGGCCGAGTCGCCCACCAGACGACCTCCATTAGCTAGCCTCTTTTGCTTCAGCTTCTCCAGTCGAGCATGCTCCGCGTTACGAACGGACCAGCGGCGACCACCGTCTCTGTAGCTCATAGCTCCGTGCTTTCGAAAATGAGATGAATTGTGATTTGCACGAACCATAAATGGTCCTTATATAGCACAATGAAAGCGAATACCTAGGCGAGAATCATAGAGGAAATTGTAACTGACATAACTGAGCCAGATTGGACGGAAGGTGCGAATCTCTGTCAGAGATTAGTTCCATCAAATCCGCTCGGGAAGAGCAAGATTCGCACGCCGTGCAGAAAAGATTAGATTCACCTAAGATATGGGGAATCTTGCAGATGTCAGACTGAAAAAAGGCCTGACGATGTGGCCGACTCCTCAACCAGTCAGCCGGAGGGAGACACGACACGAGATATAAGATAGGACAGAACAATAGCAGTTTATTGAAAAGAAGGGGATACAATGGGTCGGGAGCTTATTACAACAAAGATAACTAAAATGCTCCTAAGTAAGCCCCTCGGAAACATGAAGCCAACACTGGTCAAGGTGATCACTCGCCGGGTGAGGAGGAGTCGCTCCCAAAGAACCTTCCCCCCGATGGCCCAGGGGGAGAGGGGCAGAATGAATCCCAGAAGGAGGGCATGAGCGGCAGATCCACAGTCTCCTCGTCATCAGGATACGCCTCCAAGTAACGAGCATAGTCCCCATCGTCCATCAGACCCGTGACTGGCCTGTCGGGGTCATCCAGGGGAATAGAGAAAGTCATGCGGAAAGTCAGTTGTTCGGGGACGGCCACTTCCACGAAGGATCCATCTTGAGAAGTCACCCTGACGGTTGTTGGAGTCGGCGGACGAAGCAAGGGCGGCACGACCTCTCGCTGAGGCGGGGTCGGCGGCTGAGAAACTGAGGAGGTAGCACCAGCGGGAGATCTCCGAGGAGCCGGATGGGAAGCTTTTTTCTTGCTTTCCCTCTCAGGTCGAGTCCGCTTCGAAGGAAGGGGACGACGAGGAGAGCCGAAATCGATCCGCTTCCCTTTCAGAGGTGAGTGACCCATGGTGGATCAGTGGATAAGACGAGGAGAATAAGAGACCATTTATAGGAGCCTTGATGAGCATATTTTATACCTTGATTTAAATAAGATTTTATAGGTTAATTTTATTATTTATATTTTATATTTTATCAATTTAGTATATTTTGATTATATTAGGATTAGAGAACTTAGTTAATAAAATTAAGTTTAATTAAGCTTTATTAGTTACGGAGTATTATAACTTATATAAATAAGTTAGGTTGGTCCCACTTGTTATTTAGTTAACAAAAGCTAAAATTACATTCTTTGAGTAATATTCTGTTTCTTTTTCTTGTTCACGTACGCAGGCAGTAGAGGAGCGAGACGGAGAAGGCGCAGGAACGACGACTTTCTACTGGTTTCAGCGCGAAATTCGTGAGAAAATTAAGCAATCTTTTGAATTTGTTGGAGGAATTAGCTATTGATGCGGTAAGAGCCTGAATTTTAGGGAAGATTGTTGATTTGGAACCCTATAAAAGGAGAGCTATTCTGATGTATTTTGGGCAGATTGTTCCTTTCATATTTTTAGTATTTTAGAATAGTTTGCTTTATGTCTGGCTAATTATCTCAATTCTGATTCAAGGGATTGAAGTTCTAGTTGTGATCTTAGGGAGGTTTTATTTTAGAGTAAATACCACCTATGGTCCCTCGAGTTTGGTCGCATCGCCATCAATGGTCCCTAACTTCCGTAATTACCATCCGTCATCCTCCGAGTTGTCAAAAGTTACCTTCTAGCGTCCTTCCGTTACTTCCTCCCGTCTCAGCTGTCAAAATGGAGGGTAATATTGTCATTTGACTTATACAAAAACAGTTAATACCAGCCAAGGTCCCTCGAGTTTGGTGGTTTGGCCATCTTTAGTCCCAAGTTTCCATATTCCATTATTTTCCTTCTTTCATATTCTCTTCTTCAAATGTATTATTATTACTATTATTTATAGTTATTATTAAATTCTTATTATTATTACTATTATTTAAAGTTATTATTAAATTATTATTATTATTATTATTATTATTATTATTATTATTATAATATTCATATTCATATTCATATTATTATTATTATTATTATTATTATTATTATTATTATTATTATTATTATTATTATTATTATTATTATTATTATTATTATTATTATTATTATTATTATTATTGTTATTGTTATTATTAAATTATTATTATTATTATTATTATTATTATTATTATTATTATTATTATTATTATTATTATTATTATTATTATTATTGGTGGTTTGGTCATCTTTAGTCCCAAACTTGGCCAAACAATATTAAAGAAAGTTGGTGGTTTCTCAACTTCCAACTCGAACTCCCTCTTCTCCTATACAATATTAAAGAAAATTTACAAATGTATAGGGGTCGTTTACTTCATTTATCTGTTTTTCCATTTTCAGTTTTTCATTTCTCCATTTCTCCAGTTTTCTTTCTCCATTTTTCCAGATATCCTTCTCCATTTTTTCATTTCTCCAGATTTTTATTTCTCTAATTTTTTGATTTTATTAAATACACTCATCCTATATAGCATTTGCACATTTCTACAACAACAACAACAATAATAATAATTTAATAATAATAATAATAACAATAAATAATAGTAATAATAATAAGAATTTAATAATAATAATAATAATAACAATAACAATAATAATAATAATAATAATTTAATAATAACAATAACAATAACAATAATAATAATAATAATAATAATAATAATAATAATAATAATAATAATATGAATATGAATATAATAATAATAATAATAATAATAATAATAATAATAATAATAATAATAATAATAATAATAATTTAATGCTAATAATATAATAAAAAAATAACAATAATAATAATAATTTAATAATAACAATAATAACTTTAAATAATAGTAATAATAATAAGAATTTAATAATAACTATAAATAATAGTAATAATAATACATTTGAAGAAGAGAATATGAAAGAAGGAAAATAATGGAATATGAAAACTTGGGACTAAAGATGGCCAAACCACCAAACTCGAGGGACCTTGTCTGGTATTAACTCTTTTCGTATAAGTCAAATGACAATATTACCCTCCATTTTGACGGCTGAGACGGAAGGAAGTAACGGAAGGACGCTAGAAGGTAACTTTTGACAACTCGGAGGATGACGGATGGTAATTACGGAAGTTTGGGACCGTTGATGGCGATGCCACCAAACTCGAGGGACCATAGGTGGTATTTACTCTTTTATTTTAATTAAATTGCTAGATTCTTGTATTTTCTGTTCTTTTGAAGTTAAAATTCCCAGGGAATGTTGATAATGAATTAAATTGACAACTTAGCTTGTTATTGATTTTCCTACTACTATCTATGAATTTATGATCCGTAATTGTCATAAACAATTAGACCCAGTAGCTTATAAAGGACATGAAGACTAAGTTGCAGGTTGTAGCTATCTCAATCTGTGATTTAGGCTTAGTTATTTTCCATTAAAGTGTAATGACGTTATTGGCTGAATATGGAACGCTATCGTTCCCAGTTCATTCAATAATAGTAGTTGGTTCGAATGCTTGGTTTGAATCAGTTAATTCAGGGAGATCAAAGGCTAGTTATGGCTATCCTAATTAGTCTTTGGCTAAGTACTTGAATCTAACTTTAATTTTTAAGAGCCGATGATCTGAGTCACATCTTTAACATTCCTTTTACCTTGAATCAGAACTCAATATCCTTGAACTTGTTTACAATTATTATTGATTTTATTTATTTCTCGCGAATCACTTTAATTTCCCTGCTTTGAGTCATTTTAATTTAAGAAACAAACTCATTAGTTCTCTTGGGATTCGACCTGGTCTTGCCACTACTACAAATTAGTGGAGTGAGCCAGTATTAAATTTGTAGGGCTTCGACAACCCTGCCAAATTTTGGCGCCGTTGCCGGGGAACTAATATCGTTTCTTGAATTTGTTATTTTTTGTCTTTCTTTCTTTCTTTCTTTGTGATTGTTTCTGTTGTCCTTAGTGTTGCATGACTCGTTCCTCTCATTCAGGAGAATTACAATATATCCCTGAGATTGAGAAAATCGCAAGGCAACTATGGAAAGAAACAAAGCAAAGAAATAGCTCCTCGAGTTCTGAAGAGGTAAATTCAACCTGTGATCCAGTAAACGAGGAGGTTGTAAGTAAAATGGCTGAACCAAATAATAGAACACTTAGGGAGTTAGCTGCACCGGATCTAAACCAACAACCTCTATGCATAACAATACCAAATCTTGAGGTTGATTTTGCTTTAAAATCTGGTTTAATCCATTTACTCCCTATTTTTCGAGGTTTGGCTGGTGAAGACCCACATAAACACTTGAAAGAGTTTCAAGTAGTTTGTGCAGGTATGAAACCACGTGGGGTGACTGATGAGCATATAAGTCTTAGAGCATTTTCATTTTCATTAAAAGATAAAGCAAAAGATTGGCTCTATAATCTTTCCCCTAATTCAGTTAACACGTGGAATGATGTGAAAAAAATATTTCTAGAAAAATTCTTCCCTGCATCTAGGGCAACTAATATTAGGAAGGAATATATGGGATAAGGCAATGTACAGGTGAAACATTGTATGAGTATTGGGAAAGATTCAAGGAGTTGTGTTCTAGCTGTCCACACCATTAAATCTCAGACCAACACTTGATACAATACTTTTATGAAGGGCTGTTACCTACAGATAGAAGTATGGTAGATGCAGCTGGTGGTGGTTCTTTGGCTGACAAGACACCCACGGATGCTAGACAATTAATATCAACCATGGCAGAAAATTCTCAACAATATGGGACACGTGTGGATGGATCTATTCGTAGAGTTAACGAGGTAAGTACTTCTCAACTTGAAAATAAAATTTCAGATTTGACTACTCTTGTGCGTCAAATGGCTGTAGGACAAATGCAATCTACAGGAGCATGTGGAATATGTTCATTTGTTGGGCATCCCATAGACATGTGCCCAACATTGCAAAATCCAAATCAAGAGTTGAATGCAATTGGTGGATTTCCTGGTCAACCCAACCGAAAATATGATCCCTTTTCAAACCAGTATAATCCCGGATGGAGAGATCATCCAAACTTGAGCTATGGGAATCAAGGAGCGCAACCAAGGTTTCAAAATCAGAATTTTAGACAATTCCAAACACCTCAGCAATCTCAACCCCAAGCTTCAAATTCAGGTATGTCTTTAGATGAAATTGTTAAAGCACTTGCTAATAACACTCAACAGTTTCAACGAGAAACAAGGGCAAGTATTCAACAATTGGGCAATCAAATTTCCCAATTAGCCACATCTGTTAGCAAGTTAGAAGCCCAAGCTTCGGGGAAAACTACCATCACAAACGGAGGTAAACCCTAAAGAAAATGTAAATGCAATCACATTGAGAAGTGGTAAGCAACTTCAGCCTGAATCTCCATTATCAGTGGAAGAGGAAAAAGAGGAAAAATCAAAGGAGGAAAGTGAGTCTACGGCTAATGAAAAATCCAAGGTAAGTTCTGAATCTTCTTTTGGTCAATATGATTCATCTCTACCCCCTTTTCCTTCAAGGTTAGCAAAATCAAAAGAAGAAGAAGAACATGAAAATCAGATTTTGGAAACCTTTAGAAAGGTAGAAATCAACATCCCCTTACTAGAAGCCATAAAGCAAATTCCTAAGTATGCAAAGTTTCTAAAGGAACTTTGTACCAATAAGAGGAAGTTGAAGAGTAAGGAGACCATCATATTGGGTAAGCATGTTTCAGCCATGATAAGTAATGATCTACCTAAAAAGTGCAAGGATCCAGGTATGTTCACCCTACCCTGTATAATTGGTAATAAAGAGATTAAGCGTGCCATGTTAGATTTGGGTGTATCAATAAATGTCATGTCATTTTCCATTTATCAAGCTTTAAATATAAATTCTTTGCAAGAAACTAAAATAGTTGTTCAATTAGCTGATCGTTCTTGTGTGCATCCAGTTGGAGTCGTAGAGGATGTTTTAGTGCAAGTTAATGGACTGGTTTTTCCTGTTGATTTTTATGTTTTGAAAATGAATGATGATGCAATAGATCAATCAACTCCAATTCTGTTAGGTAGACCATTTATGAAAACTGCTAAAACAAAGATAGATGTTGATAAGGGTATTCTTTCTGTTGAGTTTAATGGAGAAATTGCTGAATTTAATATTTCTGATGCAATGAAGTATCCTGATGATTATCATTCTCTTTATCATGTGGATGTAATTGATTCAATAGTGCAAGATGTTTTTGAAGATAGTTTTGCTGAAAATTTGTTTGATTTAGAAGCTGAATTTGATTTAGATGAGTTTATTGATTCTTCTTGTGAAATTTTATCAGCTGTAATATCTGGTTTAAATTCTGCAAATGCTGATTTTTCTTTAACTCATGAGAAAATGTTGCCATCTGTGTTGCGGGCTCCAACTTTAGAGTTGGAAACTCTGCCTGATCACCTCAAGTATGTATACTTAGGTGAGGGAGAGACATTACCCGTCATTATCTCAAATAAGTTGTTACAGGAACAAGAAGATAAGTTGGTTTCACTGTTGAAAGAACACAAAACTGCAATGGGTTGGACTTTAGCTGATATAAAAGGTATAAGTCCAGCTGTTTGTGTGCATAGAATCCATTTAGAAGAAGATGCCAGACCAGTAAGGGAGCCACAGAGAAGACTCAACCCAACATTGAAGGATGTGGTATTTAAAGAAATTCTTAAACTTTTGGATGCAGGTATAATTTACCCGATTTCTGATAGTGAATGGGTAAGTCCAGTGCATGTGGTTCCAAAGAAAACTGGTATAACGGTGGTAAGAAATCAAAAGAATGAATTGGTACCCATGAGAGTACAAAATGGTTGGAGAATGTGCATAGATTTTAGAAAACTGAACTTAGCTACAAGAAAGGATCATTTTCCTTTACCTTTTGTTGATCAAATGTTAGAAAGGTTAGCTGGAAAATCTTGTTTTTGCTTTTTGGATGGATTTTCAGGTTACTATCAGATAGCCATTGCTCAAGAAGACCAAGAAAAAACTACTTTTACTTGCCCATTTGGAACATTTGCGTTCAGGCGGATGCCGTTTGGCTTATGTAATGCACCAGGAACATTCCAAAGGTGCATGATGAGTATTTTTTCTGAATTTATTGAGAGTTGCATAGAAGTGTTTATGGATGACTTTACTGTTTATGGTGATTCCTTTGAAGTGTGTTTAAATAATTTGTCTAAAGTTTTAAAAAGATGTATTGATGCGAATTTAGTTCTGAATTATGAAAAATGTCATTTTATGGTTAGTCAAGGAATTGTGTTAGGGCATGTAATTTTAGCTAAGGGGATAGAAGTTGATAAAGCTAAAGTAGATTTGATTGTGAACTTACCCTACCCTACTAATGTTAGGGAAGTTCGTTCTTTTCTTGGACATGCAGGATTTTATCGCAGGTTTATTAAGGATTTCTCAAGGATTGCTGTCCTCTTGTCTAAACTATTGCAAAAGGATGTTACTTTTGAGTTCGGAAAGGAATGTCAAGAAGCTTTTGACAAGCTTAAGGCACTGCTGACAAGTGCTCCTGTTATTCAACCTCCAAACTGGGAACTCCCCTTTGAGATTATGTGCGATGCCAGCAACTATGCAGTTGGAGCTGTTTTGGGCCAAAGAGTTGGGAAGCAAAGTCATGTCATATACTATGCTTCGAGAACATTGAATGCTGCACAATGCAGTTACTCCACAACTGAAAAAGAACTTTTAGCTGTTATTTTTGCTTTAGATAAATTTAGATCTTATTTGCTTGGTTCTAAAGTCATAGTTTTTTCTGACCATGCGGCATTGAAGTATCTTTTGGGAAAAAAAGAATCTAAGCCCAGGCTGATAAGATGGGTTTTATTACTTCAGGAGTTTGATTTGACAATAAAGGATCGAAAGGGAGCTGAAAATCCGGTAGCGGATCATCTAAGTAGATTGGTAAGAGATGAGGATATGCTTCCTATTTCTGAAAATTTTCCTGATGAGCAATTATTCCAGTTGTCAGGTATGGTTCCTTGGTATGCTGATCTTGTTAATTACTTAGTGACTGGAGTTTTACCTGGTTACATTAGTAAGTCTAGGAAAGAAAAAATAAGAAGTGAAGCTAAATATTATGTTTGGGATGAACCATATCTGTGGAAGTTTTGTGCTGACCAAGTAATAAGACGATGTGTGCCTGAAAATGAACAGCAGTCAGTTTTAGCTTTTTGTCATAATTATGCATGTGGTGGTCATTTTAGTCCTAAACGAACTGCGAGAAAAGTGTTGGATAGTGGTTTGTATTGGGAGAATTTGTTTAAAGATGCATACTTGTGCTGTAAAACTTGTGAAAAATGTCAGAAAACTGGTTCATTATCTCGTAGGAATGAAATGCCTCAAATTCCTATTTTGATTGTGGAAATATTTGATGTGTGGGGAATTGATTTCATGGGACCTTTTCCATCATCTTGTGGCTTTCAATATATTCTGTTAGCGGTTGATTATGTGTCAAAATGGGTGGAAGCGAAAGCCACCAAAACTGATGATTCTTCCGTAGTTGCAGGTTTTATGAAATCTAACATCTTTAACAAATTTGGAGTTCCGCGTGCTGTTATAAGTGATCAAGGGAGTCATTTTTGCAATAAAGTAATTGAAGCATTGTTCAAGAAGTATGGAGTGCATCACAGAACAGCTACAACGTACCATCCCCAAACCAATGGGCAAGCTGAAGTGTCCAACAGAGAGGTAAAATCCATTTTGGAAAAGACTGTGAACACAGGTAGAAAAGATTGGAGCTTACGCTTAGATGATGCGCTATGGGCTTATCGGACAGCTTACAAAACTCCGATTGGGATGTCCCCTTATCGGTTGGTTTTTGGAAAAGCTTGTCATTTGCCAGTAGAAATTGCACATAAAGCCTATTGGGCAGTACAACGTTGTAATATGGGAATGAAGAAAACTGGTGAAGAAAGGAAATTGCAGTTACAGGAATTAGAAGAGTTGAGGTTAGATGCTTACGAAAATTCTAGAATATACAAGGAGAAAACAAAGATGTTCCATGACAACATGATTTTGAGAAAGAATTTTGAGGTAGGCCAAAAGGTTTTATTATACAACTCTCGTTTGAAGCTTATGCCTGGTAAGTTACGTACTCGTTGGATTGGACCTTTTGTTATTTTTAATATTTTTCCTTATGGTGCAGTAGAGATTAAAAGCATTGATACAGGAAAACTTTTTAAAGTTAATGGTCACAGGTTGAAACCATTTCATGAGGGAATGGCAGTTTTGAGTTTGGAAGATGTTGATTTAGCCCTTCCGGAGTACTTTAATTGATAAAAACACATTCAGGGATGCGTCGGGCATAACGACGTTAAACGAATGCGCTCTTGGGAGGCAACCCAATTCAATAATCTGTCTTTTTCTTTATTTGTTTACTTATTTTTATTTTTCAAATAAGTAATCTTAGAATATGCTCAAATTCTTTGTGAATATGTGAAGTTTTTATGTGTGCATACATTGAGGTCAATGCATGAATTAAGTGTGGGGGAGAGTGTTGCACACTGATAATGGGTAAACAATGGTAGTATTGAACTTGATGACTTGTTTTGATTACTTTCTTGTTATTTAGGGATATGTCTTAAGTTAGGATATATTTTTGGTTTAGAGTTTTAACACATGAGAGAAGCAAGCATGACTTTATTTTTCTTTTATACAAAAAAAAATTATATTTTAAAAATTCTTGTTAGATTTATTGAATGAAAATGAGCAAGACTTGATGCAATTTGACCCTTTTTGTGAGTTTTTGAGCCTAAAGAGCAACACTTTGCTCGATTTTCTTTGTTGTGTGATATCAAGCATGGCTTGTGTATGCTAGAACTTGCTTTTAAATACATTTTAAGACCACATTCAAGTGGGTTAGAACATGAGGATGAAGATGGCACTTAGGTTGAGTCACTTTTAGCCAAAAAAGCCTACCTTACATTTTAACTCTTAGTGAGCCACTTTGAGCTTTTAGCCTTTCTTTTCTTTTAATTACCACATTACAAGCCATTTTTCCCTTTCTTTGTTAATTTCCACCAATGAATTTTGAACACTTGAATTGAAGGAATCATATTGGTCTATCTACACAAAGTTTTGCTTGTTCTTATGGGCAATAAATTGTTTACTGTGGGTTCAGGATGCAATTGGAAACTGAAATTATAGCTCTTGTTATTGGGAGTTGAATTAATTTATCCAAGTGATGATTCTTTTTATGTGAAGTAATGTTCCTTCTTTGAGAAATAAAGTTGGGAAGTTTGCAGAAGGGAAAGAATGAGGAGGATTGAAAAAAGTGTTAAGGAGAAAAAAAAAACAAAAAAAGAAGAAGAGAAAAGAAGAGTTTGAATAAAGCTGTATACTAGAGGCAGCAAAATGGTTTGAATGATGAAAGAAGTAAAAAAAAACATGAAAATGAAATGGGAAGGCGATGGAGGAATGAAGGTTTGTTCAGAGCTTTGAAATTTGCTTAGGGAGAAATTTTGTGTTAAAGGCTTATGTGATTCCTTCAACTTGATAAGCCTAAAAATTCATTTTACCATATCCCTTGTCCCTAGCCAAGTTACAACCTGCAATAAAGACCCTTTGATTCATGGTTTAACTCATGTTTGTTAGTGGTGGAGATTTGATTTACTTGCAAGCTTATGGGATTACTTGCTATGTTTTGATTGGAGAGTTTGATACACTACACCTTAAACACTATGAGTGCAATGAGTGAATTTTGAATCCTTGTGAGGGTGTTAAGTCTTGTTCATTGACTTTTGATAAAACTAGTGAGTTACTTTATTTTATTATTATTAAGTATTATCAATAAACCATGTTTGTTCTCTTGAGTGTGTTTCACTTCTAACCCCTAAATATATAATAATTTTTGAGATATTTCTAGGTGGCTTCGAAAGGAGTGAGAGAAGTTTATGTTAGAAGGATGAGGTTATGCTTGAGGGCAAGCATAGTTTTAGTGTGGGGGAATTTTGATGAGCATATTTTATACCTTGATTTAAATAAGATTTTATAGGTTAATTTTATTATTTATATTTTATATTTTATCAATTTAGTATATTTTGATTATATTAGGATTAGAGAACTTAGTTAATAAAATTAAGTTTAATTAAGCTTTATTAGTTACGGAGTATTATAACTTATATAAATAAGTTAGGTTGGTCCCACTTGTTATTTAGTTAACAAAAGCTAAAATTACATTCTTTGAGTAATATTCTGTTTCTTTTTCTTGTTCACGTACGCAGGCAGTAGAGGAGCGAGACGGAGAAGGCGCAGGAACGACGACTTTCTACTGGTTTCAGCGCGAAATTCGTGAGAAAATTAAGCAATCTTTTGAATTTGTTGGAGGAATTAGCTATTGATGCGGTAAGAGCCTGAATTTTAGGGAAGATTGTTGATTTGGAACCCTATAAAAGGAGAGCTATTCTGATGTATTTTGGGCAGATTGTTCATTTCATATTTTTAGTATTTTAGAATAGTTTGCTTTATGTCTGGCTAATTATCTCAATTCTGATTCAAGGGATTGAAGTTCTAGTTGTGATCTTAGGGAGGTTTTATTTTAATTAAATTGCTAGATTCTTGTATTTTCTGTTCTTTTGAAGTTAAAATTCCCAGGGAATGTTGATAATGAATTAAATTGACAACTTAGCTTGTTATTGATTTTCCTACTACTATCTATGAATTTATGATCCGTAATTGTCATAAACAATTAGACCCAGTAGCTTATAAAGGACATGAAGACTAAGTTGCAGGTTGTAGCTATCTCAATCTGTGATTTAGGCTTAGTTATTTTCCATTAAAGTGTAATGACGTTATTGGCTAAATATGGAACGCTATCGTTCCCAGTTCATTCAATAATAGTAGTTGGTTCGAATGCTTGGTTTGAATCAGTTAATTCAGGGAGATCAAAGGCTAGTTATGGCTATCCTAATTAGTCTTTGGCTAAGTACTTGAATCTAACTTTAATTTTTAAGAGCCGATGATCTGAGTCACATCTTTAACATTCCTTTTACCTTGAATCAGAACTCAATATCCTTGAACTTGTTTACAATTATTATTGATTTTATTTATTTCTCGCGAATCACTTTAATTTCCCTGCTTTGAGTCATTTTAATTTAAGAAACAAACTCATTAGTTCTCTTGGGATTCGACCTGGTCTTGCCACTACTACAAATTAGTGGAGTGAGCCAGTATTAAATTTGTAGGGCTTCGACAACCCTGCCAAGCCTCACGGAGCTAGGAGAATCGAAACGGTTCCGATGAATCCGGAAAAATAGGTAGAAAATTCGGGCGTCATAAAGGATATTCAAAACATGGATTCGGAGATTGAGAAAGATGATCGATTACTACTTTTCCAAATCCGGATTAGCGGACCGGACGTGGAAAAGTGAGGGACTAGTTGATGGGGTGAGAACCCCGGCCCAAGAAGGATTGGCCCAAGAAGGGGATCCAAGATAAAAAAACGTGGGCTAGCAGTGAATAAAATAAATATAGTTCTTACATAAATAATCTTTTTCAAATTAATAAATTTTTGGTAAAGATTTTTGACAAATATCGCCAATTATTTTATTTACAAGTTTTATTTAAATATGTTAGTTATATAATTAAAGTAGTTATTTCAATTTCAAATTATTTTCAAAAAAAAATTATAATAATACAAGTAACAATAACCTTTAAAATCAAGATAATAATAGCATAATTAAACTTTTAAAAATATTAAATATACATTGTATAGTTATATTTACATTTTTAATCAAACTAATTCTGAGCTCAAGAACTCAAGTGCATTTTTCTGTTTCAACAATCATTACTTTCTTTGCTAATTCAGAGGATCTCAAAAATTTAATTGAGAAATTTGTTAAATTAATAATAGTTCGTGCATAGCACGAGACAATTATTAGTGATGCACGAACTATTATTAGTCAAAATGAAATAGTAAAATGAAAAGTATATTAAAATTTATTGTATATTAAAATTAAAATTAAAAATTTACACAATCTTTTATTAAGATAAACAAGATGTTTACAAAATATCATAATAAATAGGATATTAAATTTTAAATAATACTCCGTAACAAATAAAATGAAGAAAAGTAAATGGGTCGGAGTTTGCTGGGTTCCTGTGGCTGTATCTGAGTCACTCGAAGCAAGAAATGAGTAAAAAGAAGCAACTACTACGCCGCCTTATTACCAAAGGAAATATTTTCTTAATCTTTGGCGGAAGAAAATAAATTCTGAATTTGAAAACCGCCGCGTCATGGCTTCCATTAACGGCTACTTCTCCTACGCCGCCTTAGTCCCACCGGAATTAGGGCTCCGTTGTGGCGTTATAAGTAGGCGGCTCCGCCCTCACTCACAACCCACAACCCACAACCCACAACCATCATCTTCTTCACTTTCCTTTGTTTATGCGGCGCTTCTCTGTTGAGTGCAGCACTGCAGTGGAACAAACATGGAGGATCACTCTGTTTCCACCGTCCTCTGCCTCACTCTACACCCATCTCCGGGAACTTCTCGTTCCCAGCCAAGGAAGCCGTCGGCCGTTGATCTCTGTCCCTCTGTTTGGTGTTTCAAGGCCGATCAAATATCTCCGCTTAATTCTTCCCTACCCAATCTCCAACACTTCACCTTTATGCTCTTGTCTCCATCAACTATTTCAAATCCCCACTTTCCGGTTTCTGCGACATTTGAGGATTTCTTGGAGGACAAGATTCCCTCCATGAAACGCAAAAGGGAGAAAATTGGAGATTCCGGAACCCCCCATAAATCCGAATCAGATGAGGGAGGGGCGGAGAAACACAAGGGGGAAGGGGACGGGCAATGGATAAAGAAGAGGCTAAGTTTGAGCGATGTGAACGATTCGTCCAGGTTGTTGCTGGATAAGGAGTATGTGAGGAAATATGTCTGCCATTGATGGATGATGAGAGGCGGGCGGCTTGTCAAAGCACGGCAGGATTGAGAGTCAAAGTTTGGGATTTGGACACCATTTCGGAACATGAGCTAAGGCTAAAGCAATGGAAGACAGGGAGCTTTCTGCTAACCAGCAATTGGCGTATGGAGTTCGTGAAGAGAAGAAATTTGGAGGAAGGTGATAGCATTGGGTTGATGTGGGACTTTGAAAAACTAGGCTTTTTCTTCCATAAGTTCAATGCCCAATCTTAGTTAGTTGTTATTGTTCACTGATTAGCTTAGCTTAGCTTAGCTTAGCTGACTTCTAAGAGGATTCTCTGTGCTGTTTTCAATGCCCAAATCTTAGTTAGTTGTTATGTGCAGATTAGCTTAGCTTAGCTGATTCTTTGTGCTGTTTCCACTGACATAATATGATAGATATGACTAGTAAATAATATTGGCTTTTCTCATTGATATATGTTTTTTTTTTTTGTTTTGTTTCAGTTGGTTACAGTTACAGCCTTCCGGTGTTCATATTTTTCCTTTATAAACCAAAAACAATAGATTCCATAATTTTTGCAAAAATTAAATTTGAAGACGGTTTTTTGTTCATTAGATATTTCAATGAACATATCAAATGGTTATAGAGTTTTTGTGATTATCATTAGGTATAAAATCTTGAATTTACTTTGGTATTGATTCATGTATGCTCTGTTTTTCTTTTTAAATATATATATATATAAAGGAACTACATTCCCCTTTTTTTCCCAATATTAATAATATAGAACAGAAACAAATGTTAAAGTTTGAATGAGTTAATCTATGTAAATTGAAGCAAGTAGAGGCATAACTTGAAATCAGTGTGTTCAACATGCTAGATACGTCCTACGTTACTGTTGCAATTAAGTTCAACATGCTACATACCGTCTTTATTGCCTTTATATGTTTGTTAGGGACTTCTGAAAAAGATAGCTCCAACATGGATGAATGTTTCTTTGGCAATGAAGAAAGACCATGAAGCTGATAAAGCTTTTGGCTGATGTAATCTACCTCTCATCATCATACCAAAATTATTTCATTCCCCCTTGTGGTGGAATGGGAAGAAAAACTAACCTTTAACCTTGGTATATCTTCTTATCTTTTTTATATGCAGGTACGCATATGCTGTTTCATCTGCATTGCATAATGTCAGCAACATCTTATACAAAGAATTCATGATTCAGGTATAACTATTTGCACTCTACTTCTAAGACCGCATATTTATTGGAGACTGTATATTTTCATACAATCACCATATGATGATTATTATAATTTATAATATCTCTGCTTCTAACATTCCCAACTGGGGTTCCTAGGAAGCGTTATCGTCAAAGCTCCTCTCTACACTATTGGAAGGTATAGTTGTGTACATCAACAATTCAGTTCCTCACACAAAGCTCATTCTATTTAATTAACCATTGGCAAGTGCAGATTTTAAAAAATATATACTTGCTTGAAAGGAAGGAAGAAACTAGAGAGAGAGAAGTAGAAATGGATTGTGCCAATCTGTTCTTCACTGTGGTGATAGTCTTCTCACTTCTCAGCAGCATTTATCACCTACAACATCCTCATCTCAATCAATGCCTCTCTTAACCACGATTTCCCAAGCTTCTTCAAGTTTCGGATTCAGGAAAAATCTCCCCAATTCCAAGGGACCCAGTCATCAAAATGCCGGTGGAGAGGGCAGCCAAGACCCAAGAAGAAGAGGTTGTTCCACACGGCAGTCACTGCTTCTGACTCGGTCATGTATTACTGGTTCAAGAAGTTCAAGGATGGGCCGAATTCTGAGATGGGTGGTTTTACCAGGATCTTGCACTCTGGCAAGCCGGATAGGTTCATGGATGAGATACCTACTTTTGTTGCTCAGCCGCTTCCTTCTGGGATGGATCAGGTATTTCACCATTCCCTTTCCCGGGGAGGCTTAAATGCTTTTATTTTTTCTTGTCAATTTGATTAATGATTTGTTAAGTTAGCTGGAATTTGGTAGTGCTATTAGATCGAGTAGTTTTCCTAATTCAGGTAGTGTGCCTAATTGGGTATATTAGATTTGAGTATGAATTCTTTGGAATTAGAAAGTAATTTTTAGCCTCTGGGAGCGAACTGAGTGGACCTGGATCGTTAAACGGACAGAGAAAGACTCAGACCACAATGTGGTTTACACCAAAAAAAAAAAAAAAAAGTAATTTTCAGAGTAGAGTAGGGGACACGTAGGTAAGGATCAATTTCAGGCTATTGCCTTGCCAAGATATGCCTTTTAAAGATGAAATGGGCCCACACGCCTAGCTCAATTGGTTTCTAGGTGTCACATTGTGTGCCGCTGTGTGGGAGTTTCAGCGGGGGTGGCTCCTTGTGGGCACCAAAAAACTGGTCTTCCTCGTTGAGTGATCATTTATCCCTCTACAATCTTGTCGAGGCTGGGTGTGGCTAGGGATTTTGCCTTTTGTGGGCAAGATGAAATGGGTGTAGGTTAAAACAGGATTTTCGTGAACATTGTAAAATTGTGCATTAAGAATTAAGGAGTTGGAAAAAATGGTAGTAGACTAACAGGAATATCGTCTGAAAATGTTGCTAGTTGTTACCGTCTCTAATACTTTGACATCTCTGACAGTTTGGCCTTTTAACCGCTTGTTGTCCCTTAATCATTCAAAATTAACTAACTATTATTAATCCTCTGTTACTTACACCTTTAATTCCTTAATAGGACTAAAAGTTGCTAATTTAGCAGCATTAATAATGGAGGGATAAATGGTGGCTAACTTGTATAAGTGCAGGACTAAAGGCAGCACCTTTATAGTTATGGGGTCAAATATTCGATAGAATAAAAAATAGGGACCGAAAAGGGAATATATCCTTCTTTTGTAATATGCCTGGCTTCATCAACAACGAACTTAGAAGTTGCATGAGTGTGGAGTGAGATACATTAGACAAGCAGATAAATGTTTTGACCTGAGTACTACTTAACATGCTACTGAGAAGTAATTTTTTTGTGATTGTGCATTTCAGGGTTACATAGTCCTTAACAGACCTTGGGCATTTGTACAATGGCTTCAACAAGCAGATATTGAACTATAGATGTGCATCTTTATTGGAGCTTCATCTTAATTGTATGCATTATGATTTATGCATTGAGTGCCTTACCTTCCCCTTTGGTTTATGTAGGTACGTACTAATGGCAGAGCCAGATGATGTTATTGTCAAGCCCATACCAAACTTATCTAAGAATGGCCTTGGACCTGCATTCCCTTTCTTTTACATTGAACCAAAAAAATTATGATTCAGGTATAACTATTTGCACTCTACTTCTAAGACCGCATATTTTCATTTGATGATTATTATAATATCTGCTTCTTTTTAGTATTAAAGACAACACCATTCAATGTATTGGGTTAATTATAAGCTTAATTGGGCTGGAAGAAATGAAAGTGGTCCAGGACAGAATCGCAATGCCATTCTCATTTTATTACTTTTTACACTTCTCAAGGGTTCCTATTCAATTTGGTTTTAGTTTTAGTTTTTTAGCTTACTGGCTTTATCATCTCCATGGGTTTTCATCCTCAGCTGCAGTAGCGACTTTTATTTGGCACCAAAGTTAGCCTCACATTTTTTTTCTTCTTCTTATGTTATCTATAAGCTTTTTTTATTTTATTGCATACCAGCCTCCTTTTGACACAGATTGAAATTCGCAAGGCATACATAATTCATTACACTTATGGATGTGATTATGATATGAAGCTATCTCTTTAAACTCCACATTCATATTAATACAAATATCAAAGTTCCATGATACAATTTGATGAGAAGAGCATGCTTACATTCATTCATATCACTGCCACCACCTGGTGTTCCAGAGACTGTGGTATCGACCTTATAATTCTTTCTTTTTGCTTTATTTACTATACACTGATACTAGGAAAATATTACAATTATTTATGTCTTCATAATTCCTACAATCTGGGAAATTTTTAAGAGCGATTTATCCAAGATTGTTTGTTTGGAACTTAATAACCATTTTGTCTCTTGTTAATGTACAGTATATGATTTTGATTCTTATCGGTCTCCTGCTAATCTAGAAAACAAACACTGACCCTACAAGTTAGACTGTAAAATATGCAGATGAACTTGACTTGACTTAATACTCAAAATGGACCAGAATATCTTGAACTTGACTTAATACTCAAAATGGTTATCGACTATAGTGATTTTTTTCAATTTCGTCCTAAACAACTTTAGTGACCTAATATAGTCTCAGACTTTTGTGTTTCGCTCAATTTAGTCCTCCGATTGTTATTTCGTCAAATTGGTGCTAAATAAATGGGCAATTCAATAATATCAATATTGACCTCTCTTTACTTTCAACCTGCGAAGTGAAAAATTCCTCTTTCTTGTACGAATTATACCCAGAATTACTCCTAGACCTACGGATCAAATTTTATATTCGCAAGTTTAGGAGTGATTCTGAGAGTAATTCGTAAAAAAAAAAGGATTTCGCATTTCACATGTCTATGAGTAAAGAGATGTCAATATTAAAATTACTGAATTGTCTATTTATTTAACAACAAATGGATGGAATAACAAATGGAGGACTAAATTGAGCAAAAACACAAAAGTTTGGGACTAAATTGAGTAAAAACACAAAACTTTAGAACTACATTAAGTCACCAAAATCGTTTAGGACAAAATTAAAAAAAATCATTATAGTCGAGGACCATTTTTGGTATTAACTCTCTTGAACTTCCGGTACTAAGCTGATGTTCAATATTGTCCTTCTTGTAGTTTTCTCTGTACCACAGACGGCATAATTTTCATGTGCCCAGATATACTTTGTCATAGTATATCGTCAAAGTCACAAAGAACAATTAAGACTAAAATTGCATTTTCCCCTTTTATTAAATAGTGTTCCTAGGTTTTGCAATATTCTACTTCTTTAATTTACTATTTCTGTAACATGTTCACTTAAAAAAAAAAATTGAATCGATAATATTCTAAAGAGTTAATAACCAAAATGGTCCCTCGACTATGTCGTAATTATCAATTTAGTCCTCGACTATTATTCTTACTCAATTAAGTCATCAACTATACAATATTTACCTACTTTAGTCCTTGTTGGAAAAAATAGCTTAAAATAGCATAAAATGACATGTTAAGTAGCTATTTTGTGGTACAATTATCAGTGGGGTCCACTTCCGATTTGGATCGGGTCAAAGTGGATTCGGGTTCTTCGTAGTGAGACGAAGAGATTGATATATTGTACGCTCAAAACGGATAATGGGTGAATGAGATATTGATTCTCAAAGTAGACCCATTTGAGTTAGAAAATGAAGGGAAAAAGCTTTTGTCCCATATTGCTTTGGAATGAAGATTTCCCCCCCTTATATACAAGAGTTCTTTTGAAGCTTGTAGAATTGTATAGCATAGAGGCTCTCTCGCGCGCGCGCGCGGGGGGAGGGGGGGGGGGTGTGCAAATCAAATTCCAACTAGCAGAGATTGAAAAAAGCTTGATTCAAGCCCGAGCTCGTGTGCCCCGCCTTGCGGGCATAAATTATGCCAAACCAAGGCCGAGACTGTATAAGGGGGGAAGTTTCGGCCTGTACTACTTTCTGTGATCGTTGGGTGTTCAATTCTTACTGTTACGGAATTAATTCCAATCTTAAATTTTGAATTGAAACCCATGGTAATGGTTGCTGTTACCAGGTGTAGTGGGGGTGCCCTTAAGTGCCTAATTAAAAGCTATTTAAGTCCTCCACCCCTATAAAAAGAGGAGTTGGGCAGTAGAGATTTTACACACAGAAATATAGAACACGAAATATCAATTTTTAGCCTCAAAACCTCTCTGCTTCTACTCCTTCTTTAGCCTCCTGTGTTCATAGCCGTGTCTTGCTCGCCGGATTCCTTGTTTGAGTGCTCAAACATTGAATCACTAGCAAGTTTTATCCTGGGAAGCCTAGGCCACAACGCTCCTAGCATTTTTGGGAGGTGGCAAATAAGGTTTTAAGGAAAGAGTGCTCACTTGACTCTTGCAAAAACCCAACACCAAACACTAGCCAAATTTCTTCATCTTTTCTTCCCTTCTTTCCAGAAAATAATAGTCAATTTTATTTGATTATTATTTATTTTCCTACCAACGGTTCCAACAGTCTTAAAACCTTAAATCTTCGTTTTCCCGTTGGTGGTCTTCTCTGAATTTCCTTGAAGAAAAATGGAGCATCCCGTACTGCCAATCAATGGGGAGGATAATGTTGTTGCGGACAACAATGGAAGAAACGGCAACAATAACGTTGTTGCGGATACAGTGGAGGAAACGGCAACAATGTTGCTAATTCCCAAGCTACACCAGTGAACGTTGGTTCACAGGATGGTGGGAGCACTGAGGGATATATTCCCATGTCTCGGGTACCTTCGGTACCGAGTGGTTCGGCTGAAAAGCGGAAGAAGTTCACCGGTGTTGGTTCGAACTTCAAGAGGTGGCAACATAAAATGTTGTTCTACCTAGCAATTCTCGGCTTGGCAAGGTTCTTGTCCGAGAAGGTTCCCGAGTTGAAGGAACAAGATGCACAATCCGTGATGGCAGTTGGCTATTGGAAGGATTCGGACTTCCTTTGCCGAAACTACATCCTGAATGGATTGTGTGACACGCTATACGATGTATATCGAAAGATAAGCACATCAAAAGCGTTGTGGGATGCTTTGGATCATAAATACCGAAGTGAGGATGCCGGCTCAAAGAAATTTGTGGTTGGCCGATTCCTCGACTTCAAAATGGTTGATTCAAAAACTGTGCTAAGTCAGGTGGAAGATTTGCAATTAATCTTCGATGAGATCCGTGACGAGGGCATGGTGCTAAGTGAAGCCTTCCAAGTGGGATTTGTGATCCATTTGTTGCCTCCAGGTTGGAAGGACTTTAAGAACTACCTTAAGCATAAGCGAAAGGAAATGAATCTAGAGGACCTGATCCAACGACTCAGGATTGAGGAAGGGAACAGGACGAATGATAGGAAAGTTCCTATCGTTGTTGGCGCTAAGGCCAACGTTGTGGAGCACGGTAAAAGCTCCAAGAGGAACCAGAAGGACAAGCGAAAGCTAGGTCCGAAAGGTGGCGTTACCAAGAACAAGTTTCCTGGTGAATGCTACAATTGTGGCAAGCATGGCCACAGAGCATCTGAATGCAAGGCTCCAAGGAAGAAGAACAAGAGTTCTGAAGCCAATGTTGTTGGAGATAGCAGTCAGAAGGAGGTTGAGATTAGCCTTTCGGCTATGGTGACCGAGGTGAACCTCGTGGGCTCAAACCCTCGTGAATGGTTCATTGATACCGGTGCAACCAGGCACTTGTGTTGCAACCGAGAGATATTCAACACCTTTGAGACCGTTGAGGGTGAAAAGGTGTGGATGGGAAACTCTGCTCAGTCTGCTGTGGAAGGCATGGGCAAGGTGGTTCTGAAGATGACTTCCGGGAAGGAACTGACGTTGAACAACGTGCTGTATGTTCTTGAGCTGAGGAAGAATCTTGTGTCTGACTCACTGTTGAACAAACATGGCTTTCGCATGGTGTTCGAGTCAGACAAAGTAGTTTTGTCCAAGTTAGGGATGTTTGTTGGTAAAGGATATGTAACTGATGGGCTGTTTAAGCTCAGTGTAATTCCTGTTATCAATAAAAGCAAAGTTAATTCTGTTTACTTGCTTGAGTCTTCCAATTTGTGGCATGGTAGACTAGGTCATGTTAATTTTAATTCTATGCGTAGATTAATTAGCATGGACCATATTCCTAACTTTCAAATTGACACAAATAACAAGTGTGAAATTTGTGTTGAGGCAAAACTAACGAAAGTACCTTTCAAATCGGTTGAAAGGGAAACTGAACCACTAGAATTAATCCATAGTGATTTGTGCGATTTTAGATCGATACAAACGAGATGTGGTAATAAGTATTTTATCACATTTATCGACGATAGCACACGATACTGCTATGTATATTTGCTTAAGAGCAAAGATGAAGCCGTTGATAAATTCGTTCTTTATAAGAATGAAGTGGAAAACCAACTTAATCGGAGAATTAAGAAGGTTAGAAG